CTTAAAGAATAGTAGTTTTCAGATAAATGTTCCAGCTTTTTAGGGAAGAAAATAGGAAGACAAAAGTAACACCTTCTTTCTGTAACAGAAAGTCAGATTAGAAACATATTAAAAAATGTGAATAGAACCTCCAATGGGAACATCACAGAAGTAAACGAATGAGCACTGTGCATCTTCCTAAAAGAGTCTGTCTGTGTGGTTCTTAGTTCCTTATTGCTCAGAGAAGAGAGAAGTGCAATGGCATTACTGGCCCAGAGCTTTTTCTACTTCTGTCACCTGCCTGGTAGTAGGTTTGAGTCCATTCACCACTTTTCAATTCTGATGTATGACATTTCACCAAAGCCATGTGACTTTTAAAAAGTTGCATTAACAATCGGGATTGTTTTTTAGAATTAAAAGAGTAAAAATTACATATAATATGAAATCTACATATAATCTGAAATCTGACTATTCAGACTTTTTACCCTTTAAAAAGGCAATATTTAATATAACTCCAAACAAAAGCCAAATCAGAATTGGCTAAGCATAAGAACATTATATAAACTATTTTCATAGTGTAGTTCTGTGTACAAGAATGACTCTGAAATTAAATTGTCTTATTTCTAGCCATTTTCTTCCATAAACAATAACAGTCACAGATAAAAGAATTGCTTGAAACCTTACCAGAAATTTCTTGGGGGAACATTCTAGTCTTCAAAACAAATGGTATCTGTCAAATTCTTACTGCAAAATCTAAAATGTTAACCCATGTACTGTATTTCATTTGTAATAAGTCTTTGTGATAAGGTTAACACTTCTGCACATAACACAAATAGGGGAGCACCAAACAATGAAAATTACTCTGCTTATGTTTCTGTATTAGAATTTTATTTGCTAAAGGGTAAAAACAGATTTGCAAAATTCACAGTTAACTTAAAACAATAGTTTTAAACCTTTATTCCTAGCCCTTACTGCCTTCAGGAAGGAAAGAACATCTGGTTATTTAAGGAACACAATATGTTCACATTTTCTATGACTTTTGTTTCTAATTGGGTTTTTAAATTTTTCTGAATTTGAACAACTAGTTAGAACAATGTTTTTTAATCACTTCATATTTTTCAGACTGTCTTCCTTCTATCCCTCTACTTATTCAGTGGATTGCTTTTGAAAATCTGCTCAGTGGTTCTAATATGATAAAGACAAAGAAATAAGAATTAGGATGTGGCATAGATCTCAGTATAGAAATCATATTTATGGTGAACAGAGTATAGGATGCTACAAACAGATATCTGACATCCAGTCTCTACATACAGCATATATTTAAAAAATGTTCATATGGTTCTTGGGCCACTTACATACCTGGCAGTTTCATTTATTACAGATACAAATAAATGTCTAATACAAACGAAGAATTGGGTGAGCAATAGAAGTAACTAGGATTCCACTATTTTTAAAATTAATGAAGCAATAGCTCTTGTTTGGAAAGCTGGGCAGAAGACCTGGGTTCAATTGTTGGCTCTGCCATTGAGCTGTGTGATTTTGAATAAGTTTTTTTTAAAAAAATATATTTTATTGATTTTTTTACAGAGAGGAAGGGAAAGAGATAGAGAGTTAGAAACATCGCTGAGAGAAAACATCGATCAGCTGCCTTCTGCACATTCCCTAGTGGGGATGTGCCTGAAACCAAAGTACATGCCCTTGACCAGAATCGAACCTGGGACCCTTCAGTCCACAGGCTGATGCTCTATCCACTGAGCCAAACCGGTTTCGGTTTGAATAAGTTTTTCAACGCACTTTGATCCTCTGTGTTCATATGCAGAAAGAGGGGCTGGATTAGATTCTCTAGGTTTTCTACAGTTCCAAACTTTGACAGTTTACATAAAGTAGGTTAACTACATTCTTTATTATGTCTTCCTTGTTCCATAATATTTGAAAGTGGTAACAAGTTTTCAAATAATTAACACAGTAAATTAAGGAACCAGATATTCTTTAAGTTCAAGTTGTAGGGTTAGCTCGCCATCTTGATAAAATTGGAAGTTGACAAATATATAATTGGCTACAACTTCTGTGGAATGTAGATATGGGTTCCAGAAAAATGTCAGGTGAATGGGATACATCTAGATTAGAGTCAGTATTGGATGAGGCTTAGCATTTTAGTCAGAATTCAATTCTATCCTTATTTTCTTAACACCAAGCAGTGCAGAACACAAAACTAAATAAAAATAAAATAAAAAGAGCAGCAGCATAAAGAGAAATAATTGAAAAAGAGTCAATAAGCAAATAGCTACAATACAAAGTGTTGTGAGGATGCATGTCCTATTTGAGCCTGAGAATGGCTTTCTAGAGAAGGTAGATGGATACAGGAATCTCAGGAGAAGATGAGTAGATGCAAGGTCATGGAGCCACTATAGCTAGCTTGGAAGCTTACAAATTGTTTTGGCCTTGGGAAAGCCATCTAACCTTAACTTCTCTGCACTGAGAAGCAATGAGGGAAGAGAATCTACTCTGCCTACCTCATCAGCATGCTTGAAAAGTGTGAAAGAACATGGCTCTATTACAGTTTACAGGCCCATTATTTCCAAATGTCTCTTCAAATAAGCAATCTTTTCATTGTAAAGCCGGCATCACAGCTGATATAAAACAACTAAAGCCCAGTGTCTCAAGCTCTACTTACAGAGTCTTTTCTCAACTCAGCAACTCCACTGGGATTCAGGGACAGCAGCATGACCAAGTGCTTTTCCGAGGGTGAGAATGAACGCCTAAGCTCAGAGTTCCTAGTTTATTTTCATATGATTGAGTCTGTCAGCAGCACTCAACACGACAGTGACATGAAGCTAGGATATGAAAAGTGTACTCTCATGACTCAAATCTCATCTTTCTATTAATTGACTTCATAGAGATTTGTGTATTTATATACTTACTCTGATCAACTTGTATCAGAAATGATTCAAGTGTTTTGTTGTTGCTACTAATAGAAAACATTCAAAACACTCTGATGTTCAGATTTTTATAGGATATGGGTGGGGTATGATACTTTTCCCTCTATTTCCCCCTCTCAGTATAAATGGCTTCCTTTGTGACTTTATAAAAGACATTAACTATACTCTAAACTCTGAAATCACTTGTGAATTTTTGTAATATATATCAACTTCTTTTTTATTGTATCTTTGTAGCACTGGACTAAATCCTATTAGAATGTTAGAAGTCAGTTCTTATGGACAAAGGATGCTCTAGCTGGGTTGGTCATTAGACACAATTGATTTCAACCACAAAAGAAAAGACCAATTCCTGCCCAATTTATTATGTCTCATGAATATCTGTTTAAGGTCCCACATTTTAGACCATTATCTTAATTGTATTTTTACTTGGTAAGAATGTAAAAGTAGGGATTACCTTTTTTTAAGATATTTATGCTATTATTTTTTTCTCTTAAACCTTAAAAAATATATTTGTTAATCCTTTTAGAATGGCTTCGTTATACTTCTATATTAAGTATACTACATTATTGAGATATAAGTACTCTATTAGATTATACTAATAACATTGATATATTTATTATATACAATTCTGCAATTAGAAGAGTGAATGATTCATAGTAAGGACAACCATAATTAGCTGGAAAAATGATCAATATCAATAGATTTAGGTAACACATTCATTTCTACCTTCAAGTAAACCAAGCAAATTATACAAGTAGATAATTCAAATAGTTATTTTTGAACTTTTTTCCACTCTGTATAACTCGAAGAATTCCTATGCTGAACAGATAGAATTTACCTTAAGTTTGTAGAGCAAAACTTATTGACCAGAAACCTCATTAATTTTTATAGATACTTTGTAATCTTGGTTATTTTTTTTTATAAAAAATATATACTTACACAATTTATACATAACACATATATGTAAAAATATAAAATATGGGACTTTTGATTTTCATAGTCAGACTCTTAAACCTTACCAAAAATATTGCTATCTTATGTATCAGAGAAACAATGGATTCTATTTCTGATACTTAATAAAGTTTTGTATAGGGAAATGATATATTATGTATTTCTGCAGAAAATTGATATAGGAACAAGGAAATAAATTATTTTAACTCAATCAATGAATAAATAGAGAATATACTCCAATGTTGAAGTCTACAACCAAAGAAAGGGCAGAAATTCCTTTGAATCAAAATGTATGTTGAGCATGTTGAACATGGAGGTCCAAGTTGATCAGACAGAGCTTTGGCAATGGATCTGCAGACAGACTGACTCAAAGACAGCTTGACAACTGCCAACAAGCCTGTTGGTAATTCTGCCAAAGAACCAAAGGCTGGGAATACCACCCAACGTCTGGCATTCTCCTATTCCTGTTTGAAGCTTTCTCTCTTACATTTCGTCCAATATTTTTGTTTGGCTCAAACGCATCAAAAATTCACAGATTTTTTTTAGATCATTAAATGTTCTTATTTTCAAGAAATATAACATTAGTTGTAAAAGAGCACACTTTATCTCCAAAGTGTAAAGACAATTTTGGTAACTTGCTTTAAAGTTCAACTAGCGAAATCAACATTATAGTCTGTTGAAGTCTTTATCTTATTAGGCTACTCTTCAGCCCAAAAATAAGAAATATATATTCATAATATGAAATAATTTAGTATTTCATGATGTCATAAATTGCTGTAGAACTGGTCCTTTTTCATAGCTCTGATGGCCCCAGAGGCTTTACTTGGATAGGTTGGCCCTCTGAAGGGTTCAAAGATATTAAGGGTGGCGATAAAGAGAAGCAATGCTCACTACTTTCTTGCATTGTGAGGAGCGCAGGAAAGCAAGACAACCTTTTAAGGGACGAGATGTGTGCTCCATTTAATTTGCTGCACAGTTACTAGGCCATTAAGTGTATGAGTTTTGGCCTATAACTCCAGGCAAATTCTTTCATTAGTTAATTCATCTGCCATTAGACAAATTCCACATGAGGAATTCTTGGTGTCATCCAATTTTTCTGGAAACTGTGTATATACTACTTGGGAAGCTTACCTTTGGATCTCGAAGGAACAGAGCCTTAAGGATCAGTGAGTGTACATCCCCAATCACTGGGTAATGCATCAGAAGGCCAAGACAGGTCTGGTAGTTACTAGAGATCACTAAATAAGAAGAAAAAAATAATTCAGAAGCAATATTTCTTCAGATGTTTGCATTATTAAGTAAAAATATAACAACACGGAGTCGAAGTAAACCAATAACTGCTTTGATAAATAAAAACAGGGAGAAGGGACCTTTATCCAATGGCCTTTGAGGCAACAAGCTGTACTGTTAACTGCATTCTAATAACTAGCATGTAGCCTCGGGGGGTGCTGGAAGGAAAAACCTCAGACATAAATATGTGTGTGTTTGCAATATAAATAATCTCTTGAAGCATGCATATTTACTGCCATTTACATGGCTATGTTTAAATGTCTCCAGTTTTGTTGCTTAGGAGTTACAAAAATATCATGAATGGGAAAGAACAGTTTAACATTTTCATAAAATAATAATCCTGATTTTATGCTTCATAACTTACATGTTACATATATTCCTTTTTATATATACACACTAGTGGCCCAGTGCATGAAATTCGTGCATGGGGGGGAGGGAGGGTGTCCCTCAGCCCAGCCTACACCCTTTCCAATCTGGGACCCATAGGGATCTGGCCTAAACCTGCAGTTGGACATCCCTCTCACAATCCGGGACTGCTTGACTGCCTGATCACTCCTAACCATTCTATCTGCCAGCCTGATCACCCCCAACTGCCCTCCCCTGCCGGCCTCATGGTCCCCAACTGCCCTCTCAAGCCAGTCTCCTGGAAGATCTCCCAGTCTAATTAGCATATTACTCTTCTATTAGTATAGATATTAAAAAATTAAAATTTTTTTTTAAATGTATTTGCTTCCAATTACTTGTTTTCCTAAAGGTAATCAGAAATTTAGGGAAAATATCTAAGCAGTATTTCTTGGAGGAAAAATGTCAAAACCTTCATAGATAAGCCTAACTGTGTGCCTTAGATTGACATTTAATATTTTTTCAAATCAACCTAATTATAGGCACAATTATTAAACACATCTTTCAAGCAGGTCTATGTAAAGTACCTCATTTGTTGGCCACCAACCCGCCACACTGTCACAGTTGGGCCCAGTATGGATGCTTGTTTTGAGAGCCACATTAACTTCCTCTGTGAAGAAACTTTAGTTACAACTTTCTGTGGCTGCAACCAACCCCCTTTTATGAATCAGAGTAGTTAGTTGATTCCTCAGGAAAACTGTGATTCAACAGTAACAACACAGATCACAAAATAAATGTTTGTGATCAGAAATACCATAGATTCTTAGACCTTCCCCTTCTTCTGTTGGTAACAGCACTTCTTGCTATAGCTTCCCTCTGCCCATGAACATTGTGGGAAAGGAGATAGGACTGGGAAAAATGAATAATTATAATCTATGTAAAGAACCACTTTATCATCTTCATTTCCGCCTCTGATCTGACAGCTTGTAATTTCATACATCTGCTTTCATTTGTAAAGCACTCACTTATCCTACCCTTTCTATATCTGTTCAGACTCTCCTTTTCTTATTTGTTCATTTTGTCATATTCGAATTCAGTTACCTGTTGTCCTTTTTCCTTTAGAATTCAAAAAGCTTAGATACTAAGAACAGTATAATTTTTTCATATACAGTCTTCTTGGAGAGCTAACAAATAAATAAAACTTAGATAATTCATTTTATAATTCATAAAGTTATTCTCCCAAATGTTATAATGATCATATATTAGTAACTGACCCAGTATGTGTATCTTTTGGAAATGGTTATGGCCTTGGGATTCAAAGATGTGGGTTTGAATCCCAGGACACCATTTGAATCTTTCATAACAGTTTCCTCAAGATTAAATGATATAATCTATGTGACTGATTTATAGTAGCCACTTAAAACCTGTTAAAGGTAACCTCTCTGAGCTTAAGTTTAGCCATTTGGAAAACAACTTTCTCATTAAAAAAAAAAAACTATATGCCTACCTCATTCAATTCAATGATTATCTGTTGAATAACTAATCCATTGCAGGCCCTATGTTAGGAAGGGAAGCAGAGATGAACCAAGCACATCCTTGCCTTGCAGAAATGTAAACTACAGGAGGGCAGATGTGCAACAACAAGAATTTATTACTACTATCATCACAAGATGACAATGAATTATTGAAGGCTTTCTAACACCAGGCCCATTGCCAAGAACTTTATCTGCATTATCTCATTTAGTTTCTATGATAATCTTGTTATAAGGGTACAAGTATTATCTTTGTTTTACAGGTGAGAAAAGTGATACTTGGAAAGGTTATGTCATTTGCCCAAAATTGCACACCTGTTGGTGTATAAGGCCAGGATTAGTAAATATTTAGAAACAGGCACAAATTCTCATATGTAGGTATAAAATAGCACACAATACAAATAATCATGGATTAAATATAAAAACAAAAATTAAGAGCTAACAACAAAACCTTAAATTAAAGCTTTAACAATTGTGATCTCCACTGAAGATAAAGGTAAATGTGATATAACTGGCAGTTAGACAGACATGAGCAGGGTAGGAATGATGAACCAGGTACAAAAAGTCACCAGGGTGAAAAGCCTTGCATGCTGAGCAATGGATAATTGTAAGGTAGGAGCTGATCCCCATGGTGACCTTTCCTCTTCTAGCATATCTCTGGTCATGCGGTTCAGACCCTTCCCTGACCTTTCCTCCCCTGGCTTGTTGCTAATCATGTGGTAGACACCAGTAGAGGAGGAACAAGCCCTTGCATAACCCCATACAAACCCTTGCACAAGCACTCCCTTAAGCATTAAGTCCTCAGGACAAATGAAGTAGTGGCTGAAGAGTAAATGGAGATTTAAAATGAAATAAAAAGGAACAATGTTTAAACCACTAAGAGGACACAATTGCCACACCAGGCTAGACCAACAAATGACTGAAGACTCCCCTACAGAAAAATGAGAAAATCTGAAGTTTTGTAACATGCTTATGCTGGCTGAAAAAACAAAACAAAACAAAACAAACAAACAAACAAACAAAAAAAAAACAAGGCAAGAGTGGGTAGAAGTGCCAAGAAGGAAACTTATCCATTTCCAAAGTGTTCAGGGAGGTGGTAAATTAAACAAGACAACAAACATTTATTTGAGAGATACACTCTGGTTAGAAAATCTACAATGAAATGAATCTGAATACAGTGTTTAGGCTGCTAATATAATTGACAAGACAAATAAATAGTAAGTTACATTGTAAATTAGAGAAAATGTTTTTCTTTGACACTAATCAAAAACAAAAATTTAAACCAATAAAAAGATGTGAAAAAATGTACGCTTAATTTAAAAAGCAGACAATGCTTTAACAAAGCTATGCTGAAGTGTATTAAACAATTACTGTTTAGTTGAGTTGATATTCTAAGAGTGTTTGGGCATCTGTTCCCTCAGTAATCACTGCACCCCAATTCATGACCCCCACCTCCAGGTGTCTAGAGTATTCGTCTGTCTGAGAGCGCCCCAAATACATGAAGAACTTCAGAGGCTCTGAGGGACGGGGAAGAATTATAACAGGTGTCTGGTCTTAGGGACTTGCAATCTAGTTGAGAAGGTGGGACTAATATGCACAATAAGGAACAAGGTAAGATGAGTTAATGAAATGCTACCTTGAATGGTATTGATTAAAATCTTATAGGACTGCAAAAGTGTTAGATCAATGAAGGCTAGATTACTTGGGGATGGTTTTGGGGAAAAGCTGTCGTGCCTTAGTCCTGTATAGGAGCAATACTTAGGTAGGTAGGGCCAGGGGAAGCAGGGACTCACATGTGTAATTTCAGTATGAAATAAATCAATAAAAAAAGTATGATGAGAGTATGGCTATTAATAAATCTTTATAAGACTGATGGCTCATAATAACCTTTCTGTATTTCCTAATCTTTATTTTTTTATATATATAACTTTAATCCATATAATCTGGCAAGAAATCTGAAAAGCACTCTTATTACAAGAAATTAAAAATGTTTATGGTTTAAAATGTTTGGGGATAATTCTATTTAGAAATGGATACTATGTACCTAAGTAAAGCAAGAGTTTTTCATAGAACAGCCATTTGACCATCATTTCCAAGGTCAAATTTTAAAATATGTATAGTAGATATAATGTTCACATCGTTATGTTTTCCAATGCAAAATTTTATTTTTACTTCATAAAATCAAGTTAGGGCAATAGGCATGGAAAAGGCATGTGAGAACCAGTCCCTCTGTCACTAGCCCTGTGGCCTTGAGCTTGTTTCCTAACCTCTAACCTTGGAGGTTGGGTTCAGTTTCTGAGCCCTCACACAGAACACGGTGTTTGTAAGAATTCTGTTAAGTGGTTGAATATTACACTTCCCTGACTGAACTACTTTCAAACAGAATAAAAGCTTTGTTAAAGAGATATAAAGAAAATTATAAGAATACTTTTGTTAAAAATTAAATATAAGTTGTGGAGATCAGTGATAAAAGGCGTAGTAAGAACTAAACGGGGTACTGGGCTCTAACACCAAACACTGAGTGTGATTGTTTCAAATTACTTTACTGCACTGTATTAGTTTCTTAGAGCAGCTGTAACAAAGAACCCCAAACTGGAAGGTTTTAAACTACAGAAATTTGTTGTCATAACAGTTCTGGAGGCCAGATGTACAAAATCAAGCTGTTAGGGCCATCCTCCCTCTGAAACCTGCAGAGAAGAATCCTTTTTTGTCTTTACTGGCAGAGCTGTTCCTTCCAAGGGCACCAAAGGAGGATCTGTTCTATGCCATTTTCCTAGCTTTCGGTGACAGCTAGAATCCTTGTCATTTCTTGGCTTGCAGATGCATCACTCCAATCTCCGCCTCTGTTTTCATATGGCATTATTTTCCTATGTGTCTTCACATCTTCCTTTCTCTATGCATATGTGTCCACATTCTTCTGTTCTTATATGGACACCAGTCATAGTGTAGTAGAAGTCCATCCTACTCCAACACGATTCATTTTAATTAATTACATCTGCAACCACCTATTTCCAAATAAGGTTATATCCTGAGGCACTAGGGGTTAGAACTTCAACATATACCTTGGGGGATATAATTAAATTCTCATAATAGGTCTAATTATCTCTCCTTATAAAATAAAGATTTGGGGGGAGATATAGTAAATCTTAACCATTTTTTTTAGGTTACATATTCCTTTGAGAAGATGATGAATTATATATCCTTGGCCCAGGGAAATGCACACCTACACAATGTATTGCACAGTATCAGGATGATCATGGCACTTTGAAGCCCTCTATTAAACTCCTGGGACAGTGGTTGGCAAACCGCAGCTTGCGAACCACATGCGGCTCTTTGGTCCCTTGAGTGTGGCTCTTCCACAAAATACTACGTGTGAGCACGCACGTGCAGTGCGATTGAAACTTCGTGGCCCATGCACAGAAGTTGGTTTTTGGCTCTCAAAAGAAATTTCAATAGTTGTACTACTGACATTTGGCTCTGTTGACTAATGAGTTTGCCGACCACTGTCCTAGGAGGTATAGATCCAAAGTAAGGAATGCCAACTTTGAAGGAAGGCTCTTTTAGTTTCACCAAGTGCATCATTGTTTGAGCTACAAACAAATCACCTACATCTGCAAAAGAACATCTGCAGCGCCCAAGGTCATCACCACCCTTGATGCCCCAGGCAGGGCTTCATGAGTCAGAATGGAGCAAGATGGAATAGAAACTTGACACCAATGTTCCATGTGAAATGTTGAGGCTGGCAAGTTGTCTGCCTTCCTCTTGTGCTTGGTCCTGGCTTAAAATTTAAGCTCATTTAATTAGCACTGCCCTCCCTGTGCCTTCTACTCAGTCCTGTTCAGTGTCTGCTTCCAGGTACTCCCTCTCAATCTTTTGCTCTAAAGAACAATGCGTTTCCCTCTGAGCCTAATCTTCCTTCCTGGAGTCATTGCTGCCCTGGCAATGGTGGGGGTGGGGCCACCAACTTGCTCCCTGATTCTATTTCTAAACCATTGCTTCCCATCTTTCCATAAAAACGCTTTTCTTCTGAAGTCTGTGCCACACATCTATACCTCTATCAAGCCTCTTCCATAATTGTCAGCTATACGCTATGATGGCTGACAGGTAGTAGGCACTGCATAAACACTGGCTGAATGAATGGTTAATTCTTTGAGTAAATGATTGATTGAATAAAAGCTGTGGAGGACCAAATAAGAATCCCAGTTCCCTCACAATTTCTTGATCTCCTCAGTGATACTTTCTCCTTTAGTAACTTCAACCATTCTGCTCATACCCAGAACTGCTCCATGTCCTCTTATTTGACCATGACCTCTGATTTTAGCTCTCATACCCGGCCTCTAATCTCTTGATACTCTTGATTTCCCCATAGTCTTTTCCTAGCCAAGTTTCTCTCCCTAAACAGCTTAAGTCACTCTTAAAATGCAACCTGCACCCTCCACTCTCCTTCTCCCCTTCAGATCTACCTAATTCATTTGGATGTGGCCTTAACTTGAAGCCTGAATTATGATCTGCCTCTTTTGAATCTTGCTTGGAGTGCTGAGCATGATTGAGAAGAAACATAAACTGAGTCCTGGTTCTAGTGCCCACTGTTTTTCTCTGTAGGATCTTTGACAGCTAGACCAGGCTTGTTCTAGTTCTTGATCAGTCATCTCTAGCACACTTCCCAGGATTAACACCTGTTATTTTATTCCAGTTCTATAGCCAGTGTTCCATAGGACTCCTAACCTCAACCACAGCTCTGGGTATGTTAGTCTGAAATTGATTATATCAATCTTTCCTATGAACTGGTAAACTTTTTGAGGACAAAGGCAATACCCCTTAAATATGTAATAAATAGTCACTCTATTTTAGAAGATATGCACTGCTATGGATTTAACCAAGCAAATAAAAAGAGGTTGAACTAAACACTGAAATGAATAAACAACTTCATTACCCCTGTATTTTTCCACATGTGCCTATATGTTTTATAACATCATCAGCAGAGGGATTAAAAAAATAAAGAACTTCAGCTGCCAAAAATTTAACTGTTCCATGAAATTAATTTTAAAATGTAAATTGTAGTATAGGAGACAGGATAATTAAATTAAAAATATAGTTGTAATATGTCAAATTTAAGAAAAAAAAGCAATAATTAAGCCCATAGAAAATCAATATAAATTTTAATAGTTCTTTACCTTAAAAAATTTGTGAAAATAAAAGGTGAGGCAAAGTAAGTTTAGAGTTCATGAAATACAGAAATAATTCTTGTATTATTATTTATTTGTTATTGTATTATTTTACATATGAACAACTATGTACCTATGTTTTTAATAAAAGAAGTTTATATTCCTCTGTGTTTTTTTTAAGTACTTACATTAAAAAAAGGCAAACAACTTTAAAATGGGAGACAGTACTGAATATCCAAAAACCTAGAATCCATCAAATCTAGCAAACATCTTTTTCCACTTTCCAGATGTTTCTTTTATGATTTCCATGTTCTTATGTGATTAGCTCTGACTGAGAAAAAAAAGAAACTTTTCACTTTGTCAAAACCCAAAGTGTTTGACCTTCAAAGCACAAAAACAACCCCCACAATTTTTGGATAAAAATGTGGTTCTCCTGTCATTTATTCACTCAAGTAATTTGGGGGGGGAATTAAAAAAGTATAATCTAAAATTTTAAAGAATATTATTAGTGTTACCAGAGGCGTAACAAGAGCATCTGGCACAAATGGTATTCAATGAATAAATAAAAGAGAACCACATAGCAATTTAACAGTCAAGATTATGAATGGCTTGAAACAGTTTATATTCTTCTGACAGAGTCCTACTCTTATGACAGTTTTTTATTTCCTACTTAATCATCACTTTATGCAATCTTTCCTAATTATATTTTGGCTTACAAATCTTATTTAGTGAACTGTGATTATTTTTCTGAGAAGGAAAATAATTTGAGATATTTTGAAATTTAAAACAAGCTCTGATACTTTCTTCAAGCTGAAGATCATCTAACTATTCAAAAGGGATGCACTGTTTTTCCAACTAGGGCAGGCACCTTTGGGTAGATCTGATAAGGTGCAATATAGCTACCACTTGGCACTCTATTGAGAAACACATTTGCCTAAAATATAACGGAGAAGTTAAGAGATTTTTAAAATGCAATATTTATTTTTTATTGGCAAGTTGTTGATACTATAAAAAGAAAACTACTCTCTCGATAAATATCCTTGAATACTACCTACCTGTCAGAAGGTGGAGCTCTAAACATAGCTGAAATACTGGCTTTTTATATGTGCACTTCACAAATGTGTGTACTAGCAATGAGGAGAATAAAGCACGAGTAAAGTCTTCAGAAAAAGGAAGGGTTCTGAAAAAATAATCCAATTCTCTCAGGAAAAATCACCCACATCTCCCAATATGTACATAGTTAACTCACACAAAAAATTTTAGTTCAATATATTGCCTACGATAAAAATCTAGGTATGGTAATTCAGAATAAAAGGTAAAGTATATTTAAAAGGTAAAACATATTTAAATTCAGGATCACCTACTTGAACGTAGGCAAGGTCAGTAACACTTACAAGCATCTCGGATGTAGAGTAACATGGCTATGAAGATGTAATCCACTAAGCCCAGGCCGAGGCCATCAGCGAACAAGGCGTCCCAGACCACCAGAAGGTCCTGCAGGGGGAACTCTCGCCCAAACAGCAGCCGTACCCACCGCCTAGAGAAAACAAAACCAAAATTCAGAAAACAGTTCGTTTGAGAGAAATATAAAGAGGAATCATTTTCTCCTACAACTGTGACGAAACTATAATCTTTAATCACTTTAAGCAAATATTATATATCAAGAATACAATGAAGTAAAATCCAAGATTTTTCAAATGAATTTTTTAAATTTATAACTAGAATACAGTCATTAAGCTTTATTCCTACTATATATATAAAACGAAAATACATTTGAAAAGGATAGAAATATTTCTTATTTAATACAAATCACATAAAAAAGGCAGAGAAAAAAAATTAAATGTATAGTGATCTGATAAATGCCTTATTTGTAAGGTTATGAGTTAAAAATTACAATTTTCAAAAATTTCATGCTCACTACTAATTTTTTGTTAGATTTTTGCAAATGGGTATATGACAAATTACTATAACCAAACAGAAAATTTCATTGTCATATTTCACTCATTTAAAAAATATTCATTTTAAAATAAAATATGAGGGAAAAGAGCAGATATCCATGTTTTTGTCAAGCCCAGACAGTTATTTCAAATAAAACAATGTGATACTTAATTTTTAACTTTAGAAGAGATATGACTTATCAGTGAGGCTATCTTTCCAGGCATGGTTTTCAAAACACAGTTACCTCTATGGCCAGGAAAATGAATATGTAGGCATAAGCAGCCAATAAGAATACTGAACAAGGTCTGTATATAATTATGTATCATAAACAGTTACACTTCAGACTGTCAATAAATGCTACCTAAGCTCTTTATATCTAATTCTTATAATAAAAATAATTTACTTTGATATGTTTGTATCAATTTACTTCTAATTTTACATAACACAGTTACAATTTCCTTACACAGCCTTTCTTTAGCAATCTAGAATTCTATGTGATTCTGGGACATAGCAAAGAATGAGAAATTCCAAATTTCTGGTACCACCAAATAGTACAGAATAGAGGAAATTGTTTAAAAATCAACTAATATATGTTACTATTTTGCAAAATTTGAAACCAAATAAAACCGTCTGTGGGGTTAAAGTGAGGCCAAAAAAATTCAAATACTTTCTTCAGGAATAATTACATTTAAGAAGGAATCATGGCTGTGATAATACAGGTACAATCACACATATATATAACTTTATGAGGAACCATAATAATCAAATACGTAAGTTATTTTATTTATATGTTAAATTAATCAACAGAATAATTAAATTATATTTTCAACGACATCTTAAATTATGTTACTCTATTTTTCAGGAAAAAAAGTTTAATGTCTAATAACATTTATCTTTTTTAAAATGTTATAGGCTGTTTAAAATTTTTATCTACCTTTCAATTCTTATTCCACTAATATGAAAAATAAAATATACTTTTTAATCTAATGTATTTATATTTATGCAGTTTAGAAAAAAAAGCATGTTATTTCTCTACACCTTTCTAATTCTTTCAAATTACAAATGCTAATGTTTACTGTTTTAAGAAATATACAAACATCTCTAAGCTAGCTAGGTGCTCTTCTTAATTACAACGAATTAACTGGTCTTGCAAAAAGCATCAGGGGAACCAGGAGAATGGACAAAGCAAAAAGTAGCTGGATTGAATTATTTGGGGCATTTGTTTAACCAGTTAACTGCCATGATATTTTGAATTTAATTAAAAAAGGTCCACTGCTTGCATCTATAGACGCTTATGCTGTACAAATGGTTAAAGGATCTTCAAACTGATAACCATATCTGCATTATTAAATGACTAAACACTTAGAATGTGATCATTCAAAGTTATTCAACTGAGATGACTGGAAGAAAAAATCATCAATATAAAATACTGGTGAGGATCTAATGTATAACATGGGGACTATAGTTGATGATGCTGTATTGTATAATTGAAATTTGCTGAGAGAGTAGCAAATGTTCTCACAAAAAAGAACCAAAACAAAAAACACACAACCAAATAAATACATGAGGTCACGGATGTCTTCATTAATTAGATGGGAAGAATCCTCTCAATGTGCAAGTGCATCAAATCACTATGATGTACACTTTAAATATCTTACAATTTTATTTGACATTTATGATACAATAAAACTGAAAAATATAAATAAATAAGGAATTACCTGGTTCAATGAATAGGCAATTATGGCTATTTCAAAATTTAAAATTCTGATATTTAAATTATTCCTTCTGGTTCAAATCAAGATGTCAGTATAAAATTCAAGCATCAGACCAGTAAAATAGTACTATGCCCCAAACTTGCCCCTTTCATTCTTGAAGGGTATTTCAATGCTTTCCTTATTTGAATTATCCCATTTAGAAACCATCACTGCTGTTCCCTGAAAGGCAATGCTTTTGCTTAGCTTTCTTATGTGTAGGGGGACATTTTTTCTTTATTTTCCCTACTTTCATTGAAACAAAAATCACTTTTGAAAAAGCTGACGTCATACTATCATAGACATCATTTAGCAAACAAACAAACAAACAAACAAAAAAAGAATGAAATTAAAACACACCACAAATAAGAATGCAATGCTATATTTTCTCCCCTTTCTCAAAGCTCAAACTCTTCCCCATTTTCTTGTGGACAACCACACCTTTAGTTTCATCACATACAGTGCAAGGAAAAAAGTATTTTAAAGAAATAATTGATATTCCCATTATTTCTATAACAAAATGCCTGGATATTTCTCCAACTGCTCTTGCAACCTTTCTGCTGGTTGGGGTTGTATTAGGTTAGCCTCAAAAATGACACCCTCACTCCCCCCACCCAGATCATACAAACAGTAATCTCTACTGCAGCATTGTCAGGAGGGGAACTGAAAACATCTATAATATACATTAAATAAAACACATCCTCCAAACTACACAGAATGTAAGTCTTCCATATTTTTATGTTTAATGTGTATTCTATGCTGCGCTGCTTTATAAATGTTTCACAATGCTTTATTTTTGAAGTTTCACTTTGCCAAGAACATTGCTGAATAATTCTAGGGTAAGGACTAAATTCTGTGTGTGTGTGTGTGTGTGTGTGTGTGTGTGTGACAGAGAGAGAGAGAGGGAGAGAGAGAGAGAGAGAAAATCCAAAATCTATTATAATAAAAGATTGTGTCTTATTTACCACTTTCCCCTCTAGCACTCAGAGCCAAGCGGCTACAGACTGAATGTTTGTGCCCCCCACAATTCATGTATTGAAACCCTAACTCCCAAGGTGATGGTATTAGGAGGTGGGGGCATTTGAGAGATGATTAGGTCATGAGGATGGATCCCTCATCAATGGGATTTGTGCCCTTATAAAAGGGACCCAGAGGACTTCCTGCCCCTTCCACCATATGAGAGCACATGGAACACCAGTCTGCAATACTGAAGAGGGTCCCTCCCCAGCACCTGACCATGCTGGCACCCTGATGTCAGACTTCAGCCTTCCCTTATAAACCACAAGTCAACCATTGTAAGTAGGTATAATTGCTGTTGAAGTAAATAATTAAAGGTAAACGGGTATAAAGGGCAAAAAAAAAAAAAAAAAAAAAAAGGTGTAATATGCTAATTAGACTAGACAGCCTAACAACTTTCTAGATAATCTTCCAAACAAAGTTGCAGTGATGGGGTATGAGGCAGAGGCAGTTAGTAGCTGTCAGGCAAGCAGGCAGATAGGCGAGTGGTGAGTGGTTAGGAGCCCGCGGTCCTGGATTGAGAGAGGGTATATACTGGGCTGAGCCCTCATTTTCACAGTACACAAATTTTGTGCATTGAGCCTCTAGTGCTCTTTGTAAAGAGCTCTGTACATTTTGCTAAGTGCTCTATGTATTTACCAAGGTCTTGTTAAATTCACTGTAAAGCCAGCTGTCATGCTACAGAGAAGCAGTTGTGTAGTTCAATTGGAAACACAGGCATTGATCTTGTTAGTGGCATGACAATAATTCAGTGAGTGCAAAAAGATCCAGAGACACACAAGAAAAAAATATTAATTATTTGATACCTAGCATGTTTCTTTTATACAAGATTGTTTGTAAGTTGTACATATAAGTATATTAAATTAAAGCAAAATACAGTTCCTTCTTTTTTATATGCATTTATTAAAGAAAAATTAAGAATAAATTCTCAAAATATTTAAAAAGTATCATATGACTAATGGAATACTTTGGGACGAACAATGACCTTATTAGTAATTTAATCATTTTTGTCCCAACTGGATTTAGTTCATACATATATTTGCCACACACAAAATTTACTGTGCTATTTTTGGCTTTTTTCATTGAGCTTAAAAAGCCAAGGAAAAATTCAATTTTTTATGGAATGAGTTACCAACAGAAATTATTTCAGTAAGCTTTTCTATTCTTAGAAAGAAAAACTTACTTTATGAAATTAGGTCTTATAAGGAAGTTGCTCCTAAAATTAACATGGTTATATCAAATTTAAAAATAATTAACAAGAGTTTAAGTTACACTTAAGGGTAGCATTAAACTTTTTTCCTTTTAAGGATAGATTCAATTTACTTGCTTGATACTATTATCTTGCTTTATGTATGTTGCACCTACAGACTGCAATGCTTATTAATGTATACATCTTATCACTTGTGAAAATACAATAATTCATAATTTACCAGATCTACTTAGAATTAAAATCTACACAAACAGAAAATACCTTCTTAAGTATTAAATTTAATTATAAACCACTCAAAGACAGGAAAAATTCCATCTTTGCGCTTCTATCACTATTTTCAATGTTAAACTTCTGTGTAATTAAGCTGCTGTCCCAGGGTATCAGTAGGCTCCTAGTGATATTATTGCTTGGTGAATGACCCATGGAAACTTCAAGAGAAATCTATTTTCTAAATAAAAAATGTATGAAAATGACCAATTTGACTGAGGTTTAAATAAACACAGCCTTAATCCAACACGGCTGTAGTAGGATTATACCTGCAGAAAAAAAATTACATATTAGATCTTCATGTCCTTTTTATTTTATTTTAATGACCCTTTAATAAATTTAGATATTGCCACC